GAACAGCCCGGCCAGTACCCACCCACCCCCCACCCCCTGCAGGGCAGAAGCATCTCACTCATGTTCTCAGCTGCAGAGGCTGGGGTAGAGGGTCTTCAGCTAGCCTGATCACATCACTTTCAAGTGGTTGCACCAGGACCCAGACCCTGGCAATCTGGTCCCCTGCCCACCTACTGGGAGGGTGCTCAGAGGATCCAGGCCCCACCAGACAGGGGAGGCACCCCACCTCAGGATCTTTCAAGTGGAAGCCTCTGAGCTCTCCTGAGAGCAGCCCAGGGCAGGCTGCATGTCCCTGTGTGCACACAGAATGACGTTTGCTAGTGAAGCATCTGTCTGAGAGGTCCTGCAGAGAGAAGCCCATGCCATGGAGCCTCTCCCGCGTCAGGGATGTCTGTCACTCTGTGGCTCCGACTACTGCTGGACAGAGCTCAGGCTGCCTGGGTGGAGAGGGAAGGATGGAGTCTGCAGTCACACAGACCTGGGTTCACATCTTGCCTCTGCTGTGCAATTTGAGCATGTCTCAATGTCTGGGTTCCTCATCCGTTAAGTGGGGATAGTGAAAGCCACCATGGTGCTGTTCCTTAGGAGGTATTTAGTCAGTGGCACCTGTCCTTCTCAATATTCATTTTATTATTCTTATCAGTAGGATTCTTATTAAATTGGAACGTTCATATTTAAAACTAAGGGTCACTTAGTCTTCTCTTGTCTCCACCAGAGGTGTCTAGAAATGGTTTCAGTGACTTTCACAGGCTATTTGGAATAACTACCCTCTCTGCTTGCCCAGGTCCTTGGCTTCAACCAGGGCAGTGAAGTCAGAATTAATAAGAAGTGGCAGCACTTTCCCCCTCTGAGAATTAACAATTTTGAGAAAATGGTTGAACTGTCCGTGCATTTAATAATTAGATAGGACACACTCATTTGTATTTCCTCTCAGAACTCACCGTAATTAAGATAATAGCACCGTGGGGGGATGAGGACCTGAAAGTGGGCCTGGCCCGCTGCAAGGTGCACGGCCAGGCCTGCTCTGCTCCCCCATGCTCTGGAACAGCCCATAATTAGGCCTGATTTATTTGCTCATTCTCATTTCCAGCCTGAGAGTCCTCGCTGGTTATTACTGCAGCCACTCCCCCACCAGCTGGGGCGGAAGGTCACTCTGCTTCCTCTCTTACGTGACGCCTCAGAAGTGGGACTCAGATCCATGTGGAGGGTGTGTCTGCCTCCCTGCTCTTGGGCATATCTGCTGTGCCATGGTGACTGCTGGCCTGGCCTGTGATGGCAATGCACCACCCAGTCGTGAGGAATGTGAGCAGCAGAATCCCAGCAGCAAGGCCCCTTGGGAGTTCAGTGATCGTGGGGCCTGCAGACAGGGACAGGAGCTCCGAGGGGACCAAGACCACTGACTTGCTTAGCTAGAAGTGGCACACGCCCTCTGCTCACACACAGGTGTCACATGGTCCCTGGGGCAGTGGCCTGGGAAATCCTGGCTGAGCCACCACCTCACAGCAGTGTGTTAAGTGGAAGGGGTGTGGCATTTGGTGGCATGCTGCCCTGTCTCCGTGCCTGCTCTGCTCAGTGGGACAGGGCCTCAGAGTCCTCTAGGCCACTCGTCCTTCACCCACTTCTTACACCGCCCCAGGGTTTGTCTGAGTGGCTTCTCGTCACTGCTCAGCTCTCAGTGCAGACTCTCTTCCTAAGAAGGGACTCCCCTGCCGCCCCATCCCACCATTGCTCTCTGTAACAGTACTCCATTTTATTGTTTCATAGTGTTTTATATCACTACTCAAATAATCTCCTTTTTTTACTTTTGACATATTATCTTTCTCCTCTGATTGGATTTGACTGTCTCAGTATCTTATAAAATCTTATAAAACCTTTATTTATTCATAATAGGAATATGCTAAATATTTTTTGCACAGATGAGTGAATGGAAGGATAGATGGGTTGGTGGGTGGGTGGGTAGGTGGGTGATAGACTGGTAGATGAATGTATGGATGGGTGGACAAATGGATGGATGGACCAGTGGATGAACAGAGCGGAAGGTGAATGCATGGATGGGTGGATAGGTGGGGGAGTGGGTGGATAAGTGGACTAGTGGGAGAATGGATAGATGGGTGGACAGATGGAAGAGGGGATGGACAGGTGGATGGGTGGAGTGGCGGGTCACAGACTGCTATTTGGTATATGAGGTCCGCTGAAGTGCCTGGGTGGTGGTATTTGTGATGCTGACTGGGTGTTGGGAGTGGTAGGATGTGGTCATTCCTGTCCCTAGCCCTCAGGGGTTCAGGCATGAAGAAAGGGAAGAATTCACTATGTGACTCTCTAATGAAATCTCTCTCCTCTCCGTGCCTGCAAGATTGCTGACCAAATTAGCACTTAACATCATAAGCCCTCAAAAAGGGATTTTCAAGTTCCCTGATTAGGTTAGAATATTGATCAGAAGGGAAAGCACCTTGGTGGAACTTGCTTTTCTGATTAGTAGTCTTCTCCTCGGTCTTAAGTGTGACGGATCCAGAATGGGCTTCTGAGCAGAGCAAGCCAGAGCTTGGCATCCCATTTGGCTGCTAAAAAGCATCATGGGGGTAACCCCCAGAAATGTGGCCAGCACAGGCTCTGGGTGGGTGGGTGAGGGGCCCAGGGACTGGGACTCCAGGACCGCAGCTGTATCTGCCTTTCCATGACTGGCCAGCCAGGTCAGCCTCACCAGACATGTTCATCCAGAAGCCCATTCATTCTTCTAGTATTTGTGAGGCAGAAAGGCAAGTAGAGAGAGAAACAGAAAAGGGAAGTTGTCAGGAAATAACTGTTATAGATCAAAGACCAAAACAATGTGCTAAACTGTAACGCTCAGAAGAAAACAAAGGGAAAAATCTTCACGACTCTGGGCTTGTCTATAATTTATTGGGTATTACCTGAAAATCACGAGCAAAGAAGAAAAAAAATAAGTTAGATTCATACAGTGGGAACAAATATTTGCAAATCCTATATCAGATAAAGGTTGATATTTAGGATATACAAAGACTGTCTGGCACTTGATAATATCAACAAGAATGAACAGCCTGATTATAAATAGTGAAGGACTTGAGCAGGCATTTTTCCACAGAAGATATGTGTTACATAGAGCCAATAAGTATGTGAAAAGATGCTCAGTTACCTATTAGGGAAATGAAAAGCAGAACCCCAGTGAGATACTGCTCACACCTATTAGGATGGCTACTATCAAAAAATACCCAACTGCAGCAGAAAATAGCAAGAGAAGCTGAGACCCTGCCTGGCTGGTGGGAGTGACTCACCGAGTGACCCAGCACCACTGCTGGGCACATACCTACAGCCGGTGACACCAGGGTCTCAGAGGGTGTTTGTGCACCGGTGTGCATAGCAGGATTAGTCCCAGTAGCCAAAAGTGGAGGCAGCTCAAGTGTCAATCAGATGGACAGGCCAGCAATGTGACATAGGCAAAAGCTACTTGGCTTTAAGAAGGAAGGACATCCCAGCAT